ACCTTTTAAGCAGTGATGAACAGAATTATACAATGTGACCATTACAAAATGAAAGGTTATAAACCAATTTTTGGACTGAACAAAAAACAACAAAAAAAAGCAACAATGCAACAATTATGTGGTGCAATACAGTAGTTCTCATTGTTAGGAAATATTTCTCACATCACACCTAAATTTGTTTCTCTGCCTATTTTATCCATTTTTTCTCCTTCCCTTTGGCGCCAGGTAGGAATAGTCTAATCCTTCTATTTGATGGTTCTTTAAAAACTTGAAAACAGCTACCATTCTTCCTTCCCATCTTAGCCCCCATCCATGTCTCTTGGCAAAACATCCCCAATTCCTTCAGTTGGCTTTCCTAAGGCATGGTTGACCTCTACTGTTTTTCAGTTCCTCTGTATGATCTTCTTTCTTGTCAGTTTCCTTTCTGAAATGTTACACAAAACTGAACATTATTCCAGATCTAGTCTGACCAGAGCAGATAGAGTGTCATCACCTCGCTAGTCCAGCATGCTGTGCCACTCTTAATGCAACCTAAGATGTTGTTAGCTTTTCTGGGTTCCATAAAGCCATCCCTATTTTATTGACAACAGTTGTGTGATACTATATTATGCTTGTGAAGTTTGCTTTTTTTTAAACTCACATGAAAGACTACATTTTTTTCTCATTAGATTTGTCCCATTATTCTATTCCATTGAGATATTTTTAGTTCCTGATTCTCTTATTCAGTGCTTTAGGTATCTACTGTCTAACTTTGTGTCATCTTCAAATATGAGGAGCATATCCTCTCAATTAAATTCAATCCCTTAATGACTTCTCTTAGGATCATAGATTTAGAGCTTAAAGGGGCCTCATTTTACAGATGAGCAAACAGATCCATAGGGATTAAGTGGCTTCTCCACACACTAAGTGGGATTTGAACCCAGATTTTCCTGACTTTACTAAATGCTCTTTTGGATCAGGCCACTCATCTAGTTTTAAATTCTCTCAGCTATACCATTATTTAACTTATAGTTCCATTTTGTCCATAAGGATAGCAGAAGAGATTTTCTCAAATGTTTCAGGTATATTATAGCCATAGCATTCCCTCAGTGTACCTAGCAATCTAGTAATTCTATCAAAAATTAATCTGGTCAGTCATGACCTTATTTTTTAAGTGTATATTAAATTTAACATTAGTACCAAGATTACCCTGCTTATTTGTGTTCCCCTCCTTCCTTTTGCTCTTTTCTGTGTATTTTTAAATGTTTTATTGACATTTTTTTCCCCGTTACCTCTGTCACTGCCCACCCCTTTTTTCTCTCCCAAATAAATAAAATGTTAGGAGTTTTAATAGTCCTTCCTTAAAATGAGTATAGTTTCAAGTGAAACAGATTTGCACATTGGCCCTGTCTGACAAGATGGGAGTTGTTTTGTACCTCTAGTCCATTATCTCTGCTAAGAGGTAGAAAGTATGTCATGATTTTTTTTTGTAGTATTGATCAGAGTTCTTATCTCATTCGTAGTTGTTTTCTTTGCATCATTGTAAAAGTAATTTTCCTTGTTCTGCTCAATTTACTTTTCATTAGTTCATACAAGTCTTAGATTTCTCTGAGTGCATCATGACCTATTCTTGGTGAAACCATGCTGATGCTTAGTGATTGTCACTGTTTGCCTTTCACAAATCATGCCGCTAATGATACATTTATAAATTTTGCCAGGAACTTCAGACAAGTTTGTAGTGTTATAGTTTATATTCTCTTTATCTTTACTTCAAGGTTGTTCTCTGTGCTCTATCATTATCTTCCCTCTTTTCCTTTCCTCAGTCTCCTGTCTGAAACAAACAGGAAATTGATTAGACCAGTTCAGACAGCTGAAAAGACAATGCATTTTTTGTTGTTGTTGAAGTTTTGAAATTTGCGGGTTTGGACCTGTAAATATGGCATAAGTGAGAGATTTCCACTCCCAGCAGCATCCTCCTTCCCCTGCAGATTTCCCCCTACAAAATAACACAGAGAGGGGCTATTTAATTTGATACTTCTAATTTTTCCACTGTACACATATCTTTCTTTGTATCTCCAGTGCATAGTACAATGTCTGGTTGTTTGGTCATGTTCAACTCTTCGTGATCCCGTTTGGGATTTTCTTCAAAAAGCAAAGATACTGGAGTGGTTTGCCATTTCCTTCTCCAACTCATTTTACAGATGAGGAAACTGAGGCAAACAGGATTAAGTGACTTGCCCAGGGTCACACAGCTAGTAAGTGTCTGAGGCCAAATTTGAACTCAGGAAGATGAGTCTTCCTGACTCCAGTCACTTCCTGACTGGCACGTAGTAAACATTTAGCAAATGCATATTGACTGATTGTACAAGTTAAGATATACAAGGAAGAAAGATAGGTTTTTTAACCTTGAGTTTAATTTTTGAAAACTAAATAAAATTTTAAAGGCCTTAGAAACCAATGTTAGAGGAGAAGAGAAAGAATTTTATCCCATATAATTCAAACAGCAATTGTCTTTCTGAAGCATCCTTTTTTTTTTTTTTTTTTTTACCTCTTGGGCATCCTCTTTGCTCATGCTTTTTTCTCCCCATATCCTTCACAAAAACAAATTTATGGAAAGTATGTTGAGGCCAATTTAAATCACATCATCCTGAGAATATTTAGTGATGAAACTTGAAGGACAACAAACATATGAAACTGGAGAGGATTCTTAGGATTAGTATAACAAATTTTTCTTCCGTCAGTGACAGTGGAGTTGCTAAAGCCCCTGAATGAAAGAAAGCAGAAATGTCACTACTGGGGGTAAGGGGTTGGGGGGAGGACAGAAAAAGCAGCTGAAATAATACAAGCTGTACACAGAAAAGTTCTGTGCTGAAGATGACACAATTTTCAGAGCACTGAAGGAATCAGTTCTTAAGATATTTGAAACAAAAGAGGATACCATTATTACTAAAAAAGACTGAGAAAATATCAACTGCCTATTTTCCTGTCTCTACAAAATCTTAATGAAGCTAATCTACATACTTATCAAGGACATCCTTGATGAAAATATGAGAATTAAACTTTTTCATACATTGTAAAACACATCCCATCTTTACATAACTTCCTTCAAGTTATAGAGAATATAAAATTCCACCTTTGTGTGACTTTTTAAAAAAATTGATTTTGTAGAGAAAAATATAGCATTAAAGATTCCTAAAAGAACTGTCTTCTGCATATGTTAAAATCATTGATTGATGAAACAAATTTGTTAGTTTTGCTTAGCCTTATTAATAACAAGTGAGACCAAAGGTATTTTTGTCTCTGTTATAGGAAACAGCTGTTACGTGGAAAAGAGGAAGGATTCCTTAGAGCTGGCCAGGTCCTCTCTGATCTGTTTGTAGATGAAATGGTCATGATTATATCAAGTTCTAGGATATGGCAGAGCATCCTAAATGAGATCCATAACAAATGGAGAATTTGGCCTACCCACAAAAGATAATATGAATAAAGAATACCTATTTTTCAAACTATGCTATGGAAGTTGATAGTAACCTTTTATAGTTTGTTCATCAGGATGATGCAAATGAACCACCAGCCAGGTCTTTTGACCAGGTAGAACTGAATAGGATGAAGAGAATGAATTGGATAGCATTTGACAAATTATATAATTTTCAATGACTCCCCGAACTTCTCCCTCAAAAATCTATCTTTTTAACGTCAGGGATGCTACATGACTCCAAAGAAATAAAACCTCATTTCACCCAGAAGGCGATGAAGGGGCACATGGAGAGCTTAAGCAGGCTGCAATAAGTTACCAACAAAGACTTACACATGAAAAACAGCTTGAAAGATGTTATAAGAGAAATGAATGACTAGAAAGAAAACACTCTGTCCTCCACTGGTATCCATTCAACATCAAGAGACATGGAGTAGAAATAGAATAAGCCTCTAGTACGTTAGGTAGATTCCCATCCCCTGGGTAAGATTTACAGAAGAATGTGGACAAGAGTTGTCCTGGATGGGTTTATAATCTGCACTATTGGAATACATACTCGTGTCATTGAGATCATAGATCCATCAATTTATCTTTTACTTTGGTACTGCCATGTGTAAGACTTGTTTTGTTAGATGTGAGTATCATCCACTATAAAGTTAGGTAGTTCTTCCTCACTGTGTTCATGGATAATTGTAAATGTATCCTTGTATGTTGGAATCTTACTAAGAATAATAGCTAACATTTACATAATGATTCACAGTTTCACAAGCACCTTCTGTGAGGTAGGTTAGTATCAGCAATGTTATCTCCAATTCCTAGATTAGGACAGTTGTTCAAATAGATTTAAGAACTTGTTCAGAGTTAAGAAATCCATTCAGTGGCATCTTGGCCAAATGCAGGATCTTAACCTTTCCAAATTCAGCATTTTTGTACTATGCCACATTGCTTTACCACATCTGTCATAGTCTTTGCTAGTAGAGTGTTTATGGTGGTTTTTCACTTGGAGGGAAAGCAGTAGATGTGTTCAAGAATCTGAGTTGAGTACTCAGCTTTATAAGTTAAGGATAGTTGAGTATTCAACTTTATAAAGTTAAAAATATTAAGTGCTTTATACTGTGCTAGGCACAGTATAAAGGTGAATGTTGACCTAGTACTCTGCCTTCAGGGAGCTTACAATCCAGTGAGATTGGGGAGAATATAGTATAATTGTATGATAAAATAAAGTGGTTACTTCAATAGATGGAGTTACGGGTGGAGTGATGATAGTCTAGATAGCATAGAGGATTGACATGAGTAAAGGTATATAGGTGGGAGAAGTTTAGGAGTAGAACTGGGACAAAGTGTTCTGGTTTGACCAGAACAGATTGTATTTGTAAGAAACCAGGCAGGACAGCAGGTGGTAGATTGGATCCAGGTAATGGGATGGCCTTGAATTGCTAGTGTCAGGTGGTTTAAGGGTTGAGGGAACAAAAGATGAACTAAATTTAAGATAGAATACTTCTATATCATATTTCTAAGTAACTTTTTCACTGATATCTTTTTTAAGGTTTACTTTGTGATTTGCTGTGGTCTGACCCAGATAAGGATGTACAAGGTTGGGGAGAAAATGATCGTGGTGTTTCTTTCACATTTGGGGCTGATGTGGTCAGTAAATTTCTGAATCGTCATGACTTGGACTTGATTTGTCGAGCTCATCAGGTATGAAATCTAAAACTTGTTTTGATAAATGTTTCTTAATGTTTTACCCCATCTAGTGGACTTTAATAAGACTTTATTAGTTAGATCATTATTATTAGTGGATTTAATAATCTTTATTCCTTGTAGATACTTAATTTATTTAAACAAGCATTTTATTAAGCGACTGTATGCAAGCACTAAGCTAAGTGCTGGGAATAGGAATAGAAAAACAAAATATCCCTGCCCTTAAAGAGTTTATGATCTACTGAAATAAAAGTTTTTTTAAAAAAATTTTTAAAGAGATATAATGTTACCATGTTTTGTATGCTACTTCCGCAAGCAAAGAATGAGTTTTACATTTTTTAAATAATGTTTTGTTGCATTTTAAAGGGTAAAAATCATTCTTAGCTCTGCCTTACAGAAACAGGCAACTGGTGTTGAACAAACCTGACCGATGCTTTACATAATTAACATCTGCCACTGAATTATTAAGTGTTTACTGTGGTGCCAGACTTTGTGTACAAAAAATGGAAGTAAAGATCCCTGCCTTCAAGGAACTGACATTCTAATGGTTTTACAACCCTCATCTGTCAACCTAATCTCAGACCTTGTAAGGATTGGCACAGATGAGAAATAGATTTCTAATTTGTCTATTTATTTTGTTTTCTTGTGTAATTTTCTGAAAACTTTAAGAAAATATTTAGCCATGTTTTGTCTTGGTTATTTATTTACTTTATTAAAAAAAATCTAACTTCACCATTCTGTTAATTCAAGAAAAGGTTTTCTAATAATTACATGAGAATATTCTAGAGTAAAGCCTCACCTGACATGGCTTATTTCACATATGTCTTTGAAAAGTTATTTTTAGGGTAAAAACCTTTGCAAGACTGTCTCTTTTGCCAGGAATACATTCCCTTCTTACCTTTACTTTTTAGAATTCCTTGTTACTTTCAGAACTTGGCTCAACCAAAACCTTTTGCATAAAGCCTTTCTTAAAATTCCTGTCTGCTAGTAAACCCTCACTTAAATCCAATTCTCTTTGAGAATGAAGTACAGACAGCATCCTGCTAGTACCTTCATATTCAAATACCCCTCCCCATGATCTCTTGTTCATTTTTTATATTAGATGTATACATGTTGTTTACCCTGATAGAACATAAGCTTTTTTATGGCTGGGACTAATTTTGCTTTTGATTTTGTACCCCCAGCATCTAGTACAGTATCTGGAACATAGTACGTGCTTAATAATGCTTGTTGATTATTATAGAGTGATATTTGTCCTGTCTCCTAATGTCAGCTTTTTTAATGTAAATTTTACCAATATACCTTCAGTTTTTAGGAAGAGTGATTTCTTACAAGTATTTGAATATCAGGAACCAGGTTAACTCCAAAATTTAGCTACCAGGGGCCAAATTATGAAATTGGAAACATTTTGAATAGTCTTTTCTGACCTCGTTTTTTGATTTCTAGTAACTTAAGAGACTGAGTATGTTGCACATCCAATTAAACAAGGTAGCCTCTATTTTGAGAGAAATGTTTTATTTTTAAAGTATAGGGGTGTCTTATTTTGTCAGAACAATTTCTTTAAATGTTGACATCTAAACTATAAATGTATTTAGTGTATAATTACTATCATTGCCAAGAATGATTAACAACTTGATAATATATGCATATCAATCACCACTGTTCGTATGTTGGGGGAAATATTTTTTGCCTAGTGTAATCCTTCCCCTCCTCCTTTGCCCCACTACCTTCTTTTGTTTATCTTACCTGCTGCCTGTACTTTTGCTAAGCAGAATAATAAACTTATAAATTATCTGTTCACATTATACCATTCAGTAGCTGCCTGTGTGTTGAGTTATTCCTCTCACATAGCATTGTCTTCTGTCTCCCTTAATAGGTTTCTTAACTGCTCAGTTTTGATCCAAGACATCCCCATGTCTTGGCTCAACACCTTGAGAAAGCCATCTACCTTTGTTTCCTCTCAATTCCTTTAAATCCTTTGCAATCTGGCATCTAGCTTCTTCATTCCCATGAAACTGCCTTCCAAAGTTACAAGTGATATTTTAATTGCCAAATCAAGTGACCTTTTCTCAGTTCTGATCTTCTTGACTTTTTTGGTGGCATTTGTCATTTTTATTTTATTTTTAATTTATGGAATAAAACAAGCATTTTCATAACATAGTACCAGAAAAAGATGATTGTACATGAAACTGCAAATCTACCATGTACAAGTTGCTGTTCCTTTCAAATAGACAACAAAATTATCATGTTAATTTCTTTTTTCCTTCCTTTCCTCCCACCCCACTACCATTACACACACACACACACACACACACACACAATATGTGTGTGTAGTATGTATATGTATACATGTAATATGTATATATAATATGTGATATATGTAAAGTTTATACATCTATTTATCAGTTTTTTCTTTGGATGAAAATAGCATTTTTCTTCATGTGCCCTTTGTAATTAATTTGGGTATTTATAATAGATAAAACAACTTATTTGCTCGAAGTCATTCTTAAAATAATATTGCTGTTACTGTATACAATGTTCTCTTGGTTTTGCTCATGTCGCTCTTCGTTATTTCTTGCAAGGCTTTCCATGTTTTTCTAAAATCATTGAGCTCACCGTTTCTTATAACACAGTAGTATTCCATCACAGTCGTACCACAACTTGTTTAGCCATTCCCCAGTTGATGGGTATCCCTGCAAATTCTGATTTTTTTGCCCCCGCAAAGAGAGCTGCTATAAATATTTTAGAATGTATATATTATTTTCATTTTTCCCTAATCATCTTTGGAAATAGACCAACTAGTGTTACTGCTGGGTCAAAGGGTATAGGTAGTTTAATAACTTTTTGGGAATAATTCCAGATTGCTCTCCAAAATGGTAGGATCAGTTCACAATTCCACCAACAATGAATTAGTGGCCTGATTTTTCCACATCCCCTCCAACATTTGGCACCTTCCCCTTCTATCATTTTAGCCAATCTGGTAGGTGTAAAATGGTATGTCATGGTTGTTTTAATCTGCATTTCTGTGATCAGTAGTGATTTAGAGCATTTTTATGTGACTCCAGATTGTTTGATTTCTTCATTGGAAAACTGCCTGTTCATATACTTTGACCATTTATCAATTGAGGAATGAGTTGTATTCTTATATATTTGACCAAGTTCTTTATCTGTTTTAGATATGAGACCTTTATCTGATAAACTGTCTATAAAATTTTCCCCCGATTTTCTTCTTTCCTTATAATCTTGGCTATTTTTATTAGTACAAACCTTTTTCATTTAATGTAATCAAAATTATCCATTTTATACCTTTATTGCTCTCAGTCTTTTGTTCATAAATTGTTCACCTATCCATGTCTGAAAGGTATATAATAGAGATATTAATTGTTTATGGGTAGGCAAGCCCAATATAATAAAAATTACACTTTTGCCCAAACTAATTTATGTTTTCAATGCCAGCCAATTAAATTACCAAAAATTATTTTACTGAATTTGGGGGAAAAAATTCATTTGGAAAAACAAAAAAATCAGGACTATCCAAGGAAATTTAAAAAAAAGTGAAAAAGAAGTAGGATTAACAGTACCAGATCTTAAACTGTATTATAAGGCAGTAATTATCAAAACTATCTGGTACTGGCTAAGAAATAAAAAAGGTGGATCAGTGGAGTAGAGTAGACATAACAATTTATAACAGCAAATAAACATAATAACCTTGTATTTGACAAATGTAAAGGCTTAAGATTTTGGGATAAGAATTCACTATTTAGTTTAAAAAAATTGTTGGGAAAACTGGAAAGCAGTATGGCAGAAATTGGGAATGGGACCGGTATCTCACACCATTTACCAAGATAAGGTCAGAATGGATACATGACCTTGATACAAAGAGAGATTTTATAAGAAAAATAAAAGAGGATTTGACCACTGTTGATTAACTTTTACCATATACTCTTTGCTCTCTAGGTTTTTGTAACACTGCCTTCTTTTCTCCTTCTTTCTGTTCACTGTGCTTTGTTCCATTTGCTACATATCTTCCTGCCTTGCCTATTGAAGGGGGAGGGGGGGCTGTCCTTCAGAGCTGTCTTAGACCCTCTTCTCATCTCTTTTTATCCTATCCTTCTATCAGCTCCAGCCAGATCAATAATCATTGCTATGGAGATGATTCCTGGTTCTGCATCTCAAGCTCTAGCCTCTCCTGAGCTATAGCCCCACATCACTATCTGTGTTTTGGACATTTTAAACCAGATGTCCCATTGTTATCTCAAATTCATTACTTCTAAAATAGAACGCTATTTTTTTCACCTGTCCTGAACTTCCCTGTTATGTGGGGGGCACAACTTTTTTTCCTGGTCACCCAGGCTGACCATCTCAGTATTACCCATGATTCTTTATCCTCACTCATCCCATGTATCCATTTCATTGCCAAGTATTTCTACTTTTGTGATATCTCATATACGGATAGTTCTTGCTTTTAGTTAAGATTGCATTACACAAATTACACAAATCTGATTCTCCTGGGGGTGGGCAGCAGGAACACCCCATCCTCCACCCTTCACCACGTGGGTGCCAGCAGCACCAGTGTAGACCTGAGCCAGGGGTTCTCTGCTTCAGGCATTGAAGTTGCTCCAGCTAATGGGGGGGTAGGGCGGGGTTGGGGCAAGCACTGTGTTAGGCCCCAGATACTGGAGGTGCTTGGGTTGCTGGGTCTTTGAACTGTGGAGGGGGCAAGAGCCCATCAAGCTTCTTGAGGGGACGGGGTGGTCTGTGGAACAGTCTACTTATGGCAATGATCTATACATTCTTTTTCTGTACAGTAATATAGCTACCTCCTAGTTCAGGCCCTCATCACCTCTTGTTTAGATTAATATAGAATACCCTTTTAACTGGTTTCCCAGCCCCAAGTGTATATTCCACTCAGCTGCCAAGGTGATTTTTCTAAAGCTTAGGTCTGATCATGTGACCTCCTCACTAATGAACTCTGGTGACTCCCTATTTTTTCCAGAATCAAATATAAGCTGCTTTATATGATTTTTAAAAACCTTCATAATCTGGCTTCTTCCTATGTTTGTCACATCATCTTAGACATTATTCCCTTCCATGCACTTTACAGACCGACCACACTTCCCTTGTCAGAAACTGACAAAGTACGATGATAATTATTTGCATTATAAAGGATGTTTTACTTTCAGAAATGGATTGACTTAATACTTTAAAATGACCTTTCCTAGTGCAAAGTTAAAAAATTAAGAGAGTTTGGTTCTCAGAATTTAAAGCCTTTTGTGTTTGGAATCAAATCCTTTATTGAGAATCAGTCACAAATGAAACTAAAGGTTTTTTAGAAATTATAATGTAAAAGTCATTGGGGAAAATCAATAAAGTTACAGGAAATAAGTTTTCTAGTACCTTTTCCAAATAACTTATTAATTTAAACTAATGTTGTCTCAGTATGTAGCTGTGCAATTCAGATAGAAAATTGGAAATAAGAACAAAGCTTTCAGAAATTATTTTTTTACTTTCTTCATTACCTCCTATTTATACCCATCTTTCTTTGAATTGGGATTTCTATGGCTAAACAATGGTGCATGTCCTGAGAGGGCATTCGTTGTTCTTGCTATCTACAGACCTGTTAGAATCCATTCATTCAACAGTAATATATTAATCACTTGTGTGTGCAAAACATTGTGCTAGGTACAGGGGATACAAGGACAGAAATGAAATATCTCTTGCCCTTAAGGAGTTTACATTATACTGAGTAAAACAACATTTATAAAAATTAATAAATACGAAATTCATAAGTAACTTCAGATCCAGGAAAGTGCAGTAACTAGTGAAGAGAACAGAAAAGGCTTTGTTGTAAGAGTGCCACTTGAGCTGCATCTTAGGGGAAGGTAGGGATTCCAAAATATGGTAGAGGGAGAACAGACAAGACTTAACAACTGATTGGAAATATAGAAGGTAAGGCTGAGTCAGCCACTGAAGACAATTATGATTCAGAATCTGAGTGTCTGGAAGGATTATGTCCTCCCAAGAAAGGGATAGATTTTGAGGATGTCATAGGGTTGAGAGAATCTAGTATGCGAGGGAAGGCTACTCCTAAAGTATCTGACCATGAGGTTAACATTGAAGAGTCCAAAAATGAGTATAGAAAGTGGTGTGATTTGTGAATATTCTCCTTTACCACCAAAAGTTACACAGTGCATTCTGAATAAAAAAAAAAAAGTTTTTTCCATTGCCCACTACTTTCGGATTATGTTATTGATCCACTATGTTAATATTGACAATCAGGAAATAATTATAAATTAGCATACTTTATTTTGATAGGTGGTTGAAGATGGATATGAATTTTTTGCCAAGCGACAGCTGGTAACCTTATTTTCAGCCCCAAATTACTGTGGCGAATTTGATAATGCTGGTGGAATGATGAGTGTCGATGAAACTTTGATGTGTTCATTTCAGGTATGGTATTAATATTTAAACAGTCCCCTGAACACCCTTTGTTGGTGGTTTTTGGCTCTTTTTTCCCCCCGGTAGAAGTGTGGTAAACTATTCTAGATGCTGGTATAACCCAAATTAAATTCTAAGCTACCAGTAACTATTTGTAGTTAAGTAAGGCATTGCCTACTTTATAGTTGCTGTATATGTAAGGTTAATAAATATAGTGAATGCTTTTGAAATAATTCTCTTTAATTAAGTAAAAATTATTAAATGGCTGCTGTCTGCAAGGTACTCTGAGAACTAAAGAGGCCACTGCTGTTCCTGCTCTTAATTAAGAAACCTATAGTCTCATGAATGAAGGAGGAAAGGATACAGCGTTTATAAAAATGAATATGATTTCACTATAGAATGTGATAGGAGCAAATGAAAAATCCAAACAAAATAAATGCTCTAAGAAAATTTAAGGAGTAAGAGTTCTCTTTGCTCAGAAGTTAAGTAACTTAGTGAACCGCAGGAAACTAAATCAGCTTTCAGTAAACATTATTCAAAGTAGAAATATAAAGAAAATAACAACTTTGTTCTAGACTTAAAATGTCTTAAAAATTATTATTTGCTCATTTAAAGTAGAATTTAATCTGTTTAACACTGTTAAAAATAGAAATTATGTGTCAAAGTAATAAATAACTTTTTAAAAAATTATATAATATAAATTTCACTGATTTAAACTGCTTCTTCCATCCTCCATTACTCCAATTTGAGGTTATATTGTACAAGTTTATGATCAGTCATGCAATCTATTTTGTGTTAGACCAATGTCTTATATCAGTTTCAATTCAACAATTATATGTGTACTCAAATACCCTATATATATGTGTACCCTAAGTAGAGGTTATTTCTTGTGATATTGATTGAAATACAGAATATGTACCTAAAACAGTGTAGACATATGTTGGAAGACTATTATGCGAAAGTACTATATATAATATTTTATGTGAAAAGTTTTATTTTTCATTTTCTTATTATCATTATTTTCATTATTAATGTTATTGTCCTCGCTGAGATTGGTGTGGGGGAAGACTACTTTATATCTAGACCCATATGGTAGTCCTATAGTAATTTGAAAGAGTGATCCTCCCTAAATTATTATGAGAAATTTAACTTCTCCACTAGGGAGAATAAAGATAATCATAACTCTAAAACTTTTTATGGTTTTACTGATTTTTTCCCCCACAGGATCATAGAATCTAATCCACCCAGGTTTTAGGATAAAATCATAGAGTCATGGCCTTAGTCTAATCCCTTAATTTTATAATTGAAGAAATGTGGTTCTGGGGAGAGCTTACCCAATTTAACCCATTAACTTACCCAATATCATACAATTAATGGCACAAAAAATAAAGAGTACTTGAATCTTCAGCTTTCTAGTATTTGTACATACCACACTGTCTCTTGATTTATTAGAACAACAAATTAAATTTATTAAAACAACTTAAACATATTGTAGGTAGGCCAGGAATTAAGTGTTTTGACATAATTTTTTTTATTAGTCTTATTAATATGTAGTGATACTGAATAAAAACATGGAAACTATGGGCAGAGTGATTTTCATCAGGAAGGTATGCTCCGTCATATGAAACTACAAATAAAAAAAGTTGATAGTCACATTTTAAGGAGCCTTTCTGATTTCCTCTTTTTGAAGGTATTTTCTTTAGATAGGGTTAAAAAATATTACTTAAAATTTCTTTCATCACAATATTTTATCATAATTCTTATGACATTTTCTTGATAAACTCCTTACTACAGATACTAAAACCATCTGAAAAGAAAGCCAAGTACCAGTATGGTGGACTGAATTCTGGACGTCCTGTCACTCCACCTCGAACAGCTAATCCCCCGAAGAAAAGGTGAAGAAAGGATCTGTGTAGAGAACCCATTAGATCTGTCAAGGACAAAACTCCGTAATATATAAGTGTGCACTGTAAAACCATCCAGCCATTTGACACTCTTTATGATGTCACACATTTAACTTAAAGAGACGGGTAAAGGATCTTCATTTTTTTTTCCTAGTAGAAAGATGTGCAACACTGTATTGTAACAAGTATACTCTGTTCTAATATCCAGCAAAGTTAAATCCAGATTCAAAAATACCCATTAAGGTTCCATATGCACTTATCATGGTTTTTAAAGTTGAAAAGCATCCCAGTTAAAACTAGATGTGATAGTTAAACCAGATGAAAGCATGATGATCCACTTGTGTAATGTGGTTTTTAGTGTTGCTTGATTGTTTAATTACTTTGGGTTTGTTTGGGGGGGTGGGGGGAGGTTTGTTTTGGATTTTTTTAAGCTAGAATAATGGTAAATGGTTTTCATTTTCCCTAGATTTTTTGGAAGTGAAATGTGGGGAGGGACTTTTAAAAACAGCCACTGACTTATTTTCCCTTGCTTATTGAGCTGTTTACCTGTTTAACTTAGTAAATATGCAGCCCGTTATACTTTTTTAAAAGGATAATATACAGTGATAGTGAATAAAAACATGCAAACTCAGTCCGATCTAGTAACTTAAGCAACTTGACTGAGCAATCTGACCAGCCGACAGTAGACATTTTGCTTTTTACTTAAATTGCCACTGATTTGGACTTGCGCACTATAATATTTTAACTTATTAATGCTATATTGTGCAGTAGCATTTCATTTAACTTTAAGATAAGGCTCAAATAGTATTACCCAATTAGTTAGTAATGTGATTATGTGGTACCTTGGCTTTAGATTTAATTAGCACGAAACACCTTTTGGCATGCTTAGCTTTCAGGTAACACCCGCACCTGCATCAGAACATTTTTTTGTAGATCCCCAGAATGTGAGGATCCTTTTTTGATAAGCCTCAGAAAGCTGATACTTTCTTTTTAAAATTTTCCTAAAGAAGGGATGTATTTAAATGGATGCTGATTGGTGGGATACTGTCAACTATATGATTATTGGGTGCTTAACTGTCTAGTATTGCCATGTGGATGTTGTATGCGATTGTAAGGCTTATATCACTAAAGATTTTATCCTCCTGGATTTTCATGATCAAAGTTCATACAATATTACTGTATAGACTTATGCTTTGTAGTGTACTATAGTAGCAATAATTTCTGTACATGATCAAGAGTTTATTGCTATATTTCTTTTACTGTTCTTTTTCCCCTCCCCTTTTTTAGGGTTAACATTAGCAAATGGCAAGGTGTAAAAAAGTCATTTAAAGTTCTTAGTAAGATGAAAATTGCAAGACACAGATTTGTGGTTCTTTACTGAATGTAATTATAAAGGTTTTTATTGAACGTTGTCAAATTTATAAGCTTGGAGAAAGATACCAGATTTATAATGCCATTCTGAATGTGCTACAATAGATGTAAAACTCTTTATTATTGTCTTTGAAAATGTTAAATTGAGGATTCTAGTAACTTAACATTTGAATTGGCACGTTACATAATGCAAGAGATATTTGATTTTTGACACAGTGAAAAAGTTCTTTAAAATAGATGTCTCTTTTCTAATTCCATTTTGTTTTAAAGGCGTATTTCAAATGTAGTTTTTTTTTTCCATTTAGTAAAAGTTGTCTAATTGATTTGAAGCCTGACTGGTTTTTGTCTTTTTTCTTTCCGATGAACTTTTAAAACAAACAATAACAATCACAACAACACACTTTTCTCCGAAGGACTTGTCATTATAGACTTGATGTGTGCTGGCTCGGTGCCTCTTCAGAAAAATGTCTATACTATAGATTCTATAGACTATCTATTTATATCTACATACATGTAGATATAGATATCTATGTAGCTGTCTATACAAATACATGTAAACATACATAAAATATGTAAATGCTACTGACATTGCTTCATTCTTGGTATACTGGGTTAAATTTAACAACAGCACTTTGTCTAACTTGATTTTAAATGTCAATTTATTTAAATAGTAATCAGAGCTGAAACTGAATAGTAGACTCTTCAAGGATTTTGGATTCAGTATATTTTTGGTGTGGGTATATATAAGGAAGGCTTGGAAATTGTGTTTTAGATGGCATAGAAGATGGAATAAATTGTATCTTTTGTTAACTGTACATAATACATTGAAACCTCATTAATTCAAATTCATTTAATTGGGAATTTGTAATAATTCAGATAGGATTGAAGTTTACCTTTATACAATCTATGAAAAAAGATGACTAACTATGTGAATTTTTATAGTATAAACTAAACTAGGAGGAGGAATCAGCTAGATTATTCGGGGAGTGTGTTAGCCTACTTAAGAAATTTTTTAACCCCTCTTAACCACTTTAGCAACATCATTTGCATATAAATAATGTGTTCATTACAAATGTTTATCTACTTGGCTACACTGTTACATATTGCTATGTACTTGAAAGTAATAAAACTTAATTTCTTTTTTTAACAAAAGTCCTATAATTCTGGTGTCACTAATTCAAACTGTTCCCTTACCCCCGGCATTACAGCTTAAAATATAAGGCTTCAGAATAATAATAATCTTCAAAACTATGAGTTTACATAAATAGCCCAAGTAACATTGCCAAAAGACAGCAGTGACATTTTTAGGAATATGTAGGTGGTCTTTTTTATACATTTTTTGTTGTTGTTAAAAGAGAAGTATGACTTTGCTGCTTTATCTTCCATTGTGTTTTCCCCATGTTGACCATGTCCAAACCAATGGATTTCAGTAATCATCTAAAAATAGCAAAGATCTAACATTCTTTGATTCGTGGGATCATAGGATTTAAGGTTGAAAGGACCTCACAGATTATCTAATCTACCCCAACTCCCAATACTTTCATTTTGTAGATGCAGAAGCTGGGTCATAGGTTGTGATAAGATCATTGTATCATTTTAAATTCTACTTTTAAATATATATCATCACCAAATCCAGTCAGTTTTCTTCAAAATATCTCCATTATTCATCTTCCTGTGGCCACCACCTTAACCCCATGACTAAATTAGTGCAGTAGCTTCTTCAGCTGGTTCCCTACATCAGTATCTTCCTTCTAATCCAAGGAATTTCCAAACTTTGTCAGTTCCTGTGCTCTTAGTTGTAAGTGTTACCTACATCCTATTAAATATGAAAAGAAATTCTTGAGTTTAACATGCCACATACATTTAAGAAATGAAAAGGATTAATTTTTCATAAAGCTCTATTTGGTACACAGTGTTTTTCCACTAGCACTACTACTCTGAGAATATTTCAGTAGGATGTTATAGATATTTGTCAAATATTCTCCATACTTATTTCTTAAGGTTCTCATAACCTTTGGGATTATATGTATCCCAGGTTAGGAACCCCACCTCTAATCTATCCTGTACATGGCAACCAGATTTTTAACTTTTTGTTGAAAAACTTAGTTGTTTCCTGTTGTCTGTAGGATCAATTCAACTCATCTTTGCATTCAAAGTCATCTAAAATTTATTTTACCAAAAAGTACAGTGTAGTGTATTGGGAATTGCACTGCATTTAGAGTCAGAGAATTCAAGTTCAAGGCCTGGCTCTGTCACTAGCTAATTCTATGACCTTGAGCAAATTATTTAACTTCTGTGGACTTCAGTTAATTCATGTAATAGAAGAGGCATAGGTTATATGATCACTAAGGTCCCAATGTGGCACTTATACATAGTATGGGCAAATGCTATAGAAATTCTGAAAGAGAACATGGTAAGGAAAAAGCTTCATGGAGAAGGGAGGATGGGTTAGATTTGGCGATAACAGGAACCACATAAAGAAAACTGAAAAGGCAGACCTGACCAATTCATAGTTAGAATGGTTAGATATAAAGTTGAGAGTAGCCTGGCTGGAATATAATGGAATTTTGCCAAGAAACTAAAACTTGAGAATGTAATGTGGAACTGGAATTTGGGTTATATTGGATAGGTAAAAGAAGAACAACCACCTGTGTTTGGGGAGAATAAAGATGTGAATATAGCAGTTGTATGCAGCTTGTGTTAAGAGAAAGACATGTCTAGGGACTTAGAAAGTAGGCTATTATAAAATCCATGTATAAACTAATGAAAACCTGGACTGGCCACCTTGATTGAGACAGCAAATATAGACAGCAAATAAAGAAAGGGTTTGGGGAAAAACGGGCTTTCTCTCCATGTTAAATAACAATGCAGAGCTGCATATAAGTGCCAGATAAGTACTCACATTTCAGAGATTTCAGATCAGCAAGAACTGTAATGTGGAAAACAATAAAACAATTTATTGATAGAATGTTTATAAAGAAAAACCATTGTAGTTGAACAGAGTTCCACAGCACTATCCCCAGGGGCTTTCTTGTTTAGAGATTAGCCAACATTCCTAGAGTGATTCTTTACTGTGAGAAGTAAAGGAATGTTTTAAAAGATGGTGAAATTTGAACTGACACTTGAAAGATGAGTATAATTGAGAGAAGTGAAGAAAGGTATTACAAGATTGGGAAAATGGTGAAAATTTAAATGTTAGGGAAGTGGAAAACAGGAAGTGTGATTAGGGGGTGGGAGGGAAATGATTTGATGCCACAGACCTGGATTGCCAGGCTGAACATTATTCTTAAGATCAGGGATTCAGCTTGGGGTCTGTGGATTTTATTTTCATATTTTGATTACTAAATATAATTAGTTTTCTTGACAATCCTATCTATTTTATTCATTTGAAAATATTCCGTGAAGGTGGCCATAGCTTTCACCCGACTGCCAAAGGAACCTCAGAGGGGTCTATGACATAAAAATCTGCCTTAGGCAGTGTTAAAAAAAAAAAAAGTGTATTTTTTAAAAATAGCTGACAGGTATGTAGTGTTAAGATTTTTCAAAGCTTTTTTTTTCCACCCAAAGATTTTTCAGTTCTTATTTGAGGCTCCCAACAGTTTTGTTCAGGTACTTATCTCAACTTTACAGGTGAGAAAACCAAGGGTCTGAGAGATTAAATGCTTTGCCTAAAATCACACAGCTTACAAGTGTTGGAGGCAAAATCGTTTGATACCCTTTCTGTTACATTACAAAGCAGGCTTTCACGCAAAGGAGTGGCATTGATGTTAAAAGTGGTGTTTCAGGAAGACTGACCTGGCATAAATACAGGGTACATTGAAATGAGGAAAGATGACACAAGGGAGATTGATTCAGAGGTTGTTTTAATACCTTAGACATGAGGTAATGAAAGTATTTTAAGCCTGAGTGACTAAGAGAATGATGGTGCCATTGAAAGAAATGAATAAATCAGGAGGGGAGGCTGGCTTGAAGAGAAATAATAGCTTTCATTTTTGAAGAACTTTATTTTAAACTTTAGTTTAAAACAATTTTTCACAACTACTCAGAGATAGGCATTTTACATATAAGGTGACTGGTCGATAGAGTTTAGGGCTTACCAGATCACATGGCCAGTAAGCATCAGATCCATTGACTAACCCATGACTCCATACTACACTGAGTTTGAGAGAAGTTGAGGATTTGGTGTATGTGTTTGGATGTAGGGAGGACGGGAGACTGGACCCAAATGTTAGTGTAAAGTTGCCAGGAGCCCTGGGAAGTTGTGATTAGCCCAAGATCATACAGCCATTATGTGTCAGAGATGGGAATTCAAGACTTCCTGACTCTGAGGCTGGCTCTATACATCATTACTACACTGCCTCTCAATTTAGGGATACTGAGAAGAAAAGTCTCACAGAGAGGTCAGAGCTAGAGATGTAAATTTGGAAGTTGCCCATACGTAGGAGATTATCTGCTATTTGTTGAAGCTGCCAGTGACTCAAGCGAGCAAACATTTATGAAGAGTGAATGAAGCAGATCAGCTAATTGGATAGATATTTTTTTTTAAAGTGGATTAAGCCAGGCCTGGTGATAGAATGGTGTAGTCCCTCCTTCTGGGGAAGCTGAGATTGGTGGACCACATAAATTTGGGTGTTCTGAGCTGCAGTAGTACTCAAGCTGATTGATCAAGTGTATACATTACATCCAGTACCAATATGGTGAGCCTTCAGGAACATCAGGTCATCTTCAAAGCTTCCATGCCAGTCATCAGGTCAGTGTGTGAATAGTCATGCACTTCAAACCTAGGTGGAGGATAAAACATAGAGGATTACCAAATTTAACCTTTTTATTTATGCTGGTTTTCTTTCCTGGAATATTCTGGCTCCTCTTTGATTTTCCAATTGCTGCCCAATTTTTCCAAACCTAGCTGAAGTCCCAATTCCTCCATGAAAACTTCTCACAGTTTAATCCTGATTTGGTCTCTAGTATATCACTATGCAATTTAGAGCTGCTTTGACTTCACGATTTCGTTTATAGTAGGAATGTTAATATGGATATTGTTCAGTTCCTTAAGTATTATATCAGTTCTTTAATTGCTCAACAAATATTTCACATTTGGAATACTAACATCCAGTTTTTATAGATGGTGTAAAATCTGGGTGACTCTTAGCACCCCTGCCCTCTTTATTGCCATACCTAATCATCACTGCAGAAGGGGTTCTCACAGTAGTCAAAGACATTTTGTATTTTTTGCTTGTTTGTTTTATGTATCACTGTAGCCAAAGGATTTATCTATTAGTGGCCAACTTGCTCATAGTGAGCTCCATATTTAGACTACTTCTTGGACAGTAAACAAAGCATGTCACCAGGATCATATCCAAAGCCTTTCCATCCTAAAAGATCCTGTTAGAGTTTATATTCCTCTGGAATAATCTTTGAGAACTTAGGGTCATCTCTATGCTGCAATAAAGTTATAGGAATAAGACTTAAGTAAGTAGGTTTTTTATATCCTAAAAGATGTTGCCTCTGTAACTAAACACTACTTGAGCTGTGGTTTGACCAGGATACTGTAAAGAAAAAACCAAACCTCCTTTGTTTTGGCTACTATACTTCTGTTAATTCAGGCTAACAGTTTTTGTTTTTGTTTTAATACTGTGTCACACTGTTGACTTATTGAGTATTGAATGTAGCATAGAGAGCTGACCTGCAAGCCAGGAAGACCTGGGCTCAAGTCTTTTGACACATACTGCCTGTATGTGACCCTTGGCAAATCATATCACTTCTCAGTACTTAAGGCAACTCTAAGGTTTCTAAGATTCAGAAAAGGTGCCAACCTGCACTGGTAAAAGGGGGCTTCCTATACCAAGAAACTCATCGGTATAGTCTCTGTCCTTACTGAGTACACACAATACACTCAGAGATCTACTTATTAATCTTGCATGCACTATAATTCCCAAAGGAGGTGCCTGTGAACATTGCCTAAGAACACATAATCAGGATCAAGTGCTGTGCCAGAGAGAATCAAAAAACTTAACGAATGAGGTCTGTTGATCTGTTCTCTTCTGAGCACCTTCAGTGGCCTCCCTATTGCCTGTAGGATAACACACAAACTCCTTTGTCTGATCATCCACATTCTATTTCAAACCTATCTTTTGAGCCTTATTTCATACTATTCCCCTTAGCTGCTCAACATTCCTGACAAATTTGACTTTTGTTTCCTAGTTTTGTATGGTATGAGACCTCTATGTGAGGTTTCCCTTCATTGAAGTTGGACTGAACAGAGTCTAAGCTCTCTTTCAATTCTTAAATCCTGCTTTTCTGTATTCATGCAAGCTGTCCTTTGGCTGAAATGCACTCCTTCCTCACTTGACTTCAATAGCACATTTACTCCAGAGGAAAGATTATGGTCTGTTTCTTTTCTGTCTTTAGGGCTGTAATTATGTTGGGTATTAAGGAAATATTTGTCAAAATGACCAAAAGCATTCACTAGCTATGATCCTTCCTTTTGGTACCATTAAATAGAACCTAGTGAGAACAGCAGGTGCTATATACTATTGAAAGAAACAAAACATGGTCCCTGCCCTTACTTTTACAGGCCCTTCTATGAAGAAAGCTTGCAGCAGTGAGGCTGTGGTTCTCTCTCTGGGCCTCAGTTTTGTCTGCAAAAGAAGGAGATTGGACTATGTTTCACAATCTGTTCCAGCTCTAAATCTAATCTTATGATCTTGTCCAACTAGAATAAGATCCAACTTCCCTCTTTTTTTTTTTTCAGAGAATTTAGTAAGTTCTTAGTAAGTACTACAAAAGTACTTAGTTAAGTCACACCCTTAGTAGTGTGCTAGCCAGCCATAGAATCTAGGGTCTTTCGATTTTCAGATTAGTGCTCTTCCCACTACATCTCCCTGCCCCAGTTGGCTCTAAAGAAACAATTTCTCTAGAAGAAAATAACTAACAGACGTTAGCTATACTTTATAAGGTTCTGGGATACTGGCTCCTCCCCCCCCAAAAAAAGATCCACACAAAAGACGTTAATATTTGCCAACTAGTAAATTTGGTAATTAGCACTTAATTGAATAACATCCAAGTGCATGCTTTCCTTCATGTATTCGCTTATTCATTATAAAGAGCTTATTACAAGCCATGCACTTTGGAACAGAACACAAATTTCCCTGCCTCCCCGAGGCAGGCCGGTGCCACTGGTACCCCGTGGAAGGCGCCTAAGCCGACCCCGCAGTAGACTTAGAACTGGAAGGGGCGAAGCACGGAGGAAGAAACAGGCCCCGAAAGGCCTGCCCAAGTGGACAAGATGATAACGATGAGAGGCGTTAATTATCGCCGGGGCACCTCTCCCCGGACCTCACACTTGCAGCGGGCTCCGAGCCCTCTGGGTGTGAGCGGCGGACTGGAGGGGGCGCTTGGCGCGGGGAGGGCTGCGCATCTCTCGGGGCCCGCGCGGTCGCGCGACGCCCCGCCCCGGGCTCCTTGGCGCCCTCTGATTGGCCGCCTTGAGCCCGGTCTCGCGCTCCCTCGCGCTCCTCTCGCTCCCTCCCTCCGGGTTGGCGGGAGGCTCGGAGCGTCCCGTGGTGTGCAGTTGTTTGCCGTCGAGTGAAGTAACTGCTCCCGGCTTTCTGTGAGGCCTGACGCCGCAGGACTTACCCCTGCTCATCCTTTGTTCCGCAGACCTAGAGCCTAGGCATTCTGTCACTCCCAGGTACCTCCCCTATCTCCGGGTTTGGTTGCCTCAGGAGATCGCCTCTGCGCCGGAGGCTCCAGAGAGCGAGCAGGCGGAGAGGGACATCCATCGAGAGCGCTTTCCCGCGGGACTTTTCCTGGACAGTTCCCCGGACTGAAGCGGCCTTGTCTATCGCCCTTCCTTGTCCTAAGAGTAGCCGGTGGGGCAGTGGGGGGAGGGAGGATAGGCCGAAGAGGGGGCGGTGTTGAGTTTAAGCGGGCGTGGCTGGGCTGACCGCTCAGGCCCGGGTCAGAGTGTGTGAAGCAGTGGGGAGAGCGTCAGGGCGGGGGATATGGGTGTGTGGTGGGTGTGCATGGGGGGAGGTGTGAAGGAAGGTGTGTGAGTGTGTGGTGAGTGTGCATCGAGGTGTGTAGGTGTGTGGTGAGTGTGCATCGAGGGGGAGTGTGAGGGAAGGTGTGTGGGTATGTGGTGAGTGTGCATGGGGGGTGTGAGTGTGTATCGAGGGGGAGTGTGAGGGAAGGTGTGTGGGTGTGTGGTGAGTGTGCATCGAGGGGGTGTGTGAGGGAAAGTGTGGGTATGGTGAGTGTGCATAGAGTGAGGGAGGTGTGACGGAAGGTGTGTGGGGAGAATGCATGGGGGAGGGGAGAGGAAAAGTATGTGGGTGTGTGGTGAGTGTGCATCGAGGGGGAAGGTGTGAGGGAAGGTATGTAGGTAAGTTGTGATGGAGTGTTCAGGGATGTGTAGGTCAGTGTACACAAGCTCCTGGCTCTTAGGAGAGCTGTGGTGTGGGCTCAGACCCCACGAGGAAGGCCCCACATCCTTTCATTTTGTGTGGCTGGAATTTGACTCACCGCTATACCTTTTGCTTCCAGTAGAGGGCAGTGCCCACAGGTCACAGACCTCAAGGTGGCTGGCTGCTAGAACAGGTGAATTTGGACTAGGGCTGAAATGTCTCATAGTTATTGCATTGTGGAGATACCCATAAGACAGCTCTGGAAAAGGCCTTTGGGCATCCACTCCAGTAGTTTTGTTTGGGAGCAGGATCTATTTACCTTACCTATCTTCCAGTGCTTAAGACAAATGCTTCCATGTTTGTGCACTGCTAAGCACAGCTATTTGCCCTTGGATATTATGCACCTGAATTTTCCAATTTAAACTGTCTCAGGGGAGGCTATTTCTGTAAATTCACAAATTTGTGTGAATTTAGAGGAGGCCGAACATCACAGAGTTGTTAGTCCTGTAAGCAATATAGCTCCTGGATAATTTCATTGTAATATTAATATGTATGGGACAAATGAAATTGTAGACATTACCCATAGAATAAATTTATATGATTTATTCAGAACTTTATGCATTGCAAATGTCAGAGCTGTTTATTTCTGATACCCATTGGATCTAGCACTTTTTCCCTGATTACTTAAAAAAATGCTTGGACTACTATGTAAATAATACTAATTGTAGACTTTTATGTAAACTGCTTACCATTTGTGCCTGGTAAACTGCTTACCATTTGTGCTTTGTTATCATGTAGCACAATACTGACTATGCATATCATTAAATGTTAGATTAATTTTGTTGTAAGTTGCACTAAACCTCCTGATCTTTCTGCTTTCATAACCTAGTCATTTGTCCATTTACAGTAACTTCAAAAAATTAAGGATTTTTTTATGTGATCAATCACTCAAAGTTCATTTCATTGCTAAAGTTCATGATTGTTAAAGATCTGAATTTTTTCATTTAAAAACTGAATAAATGCTTTTTGGGTAATTAAATTAAGTGAATTTTTTAATCTACCATGGTGTTTGCTAATAGAAAGATGTGTGTTTTTTACTGTTTTCTAATATAGTACTGACAATGTTAAGATTCTATAAATGCTAGCTATTTTATGTAGAAATGAAATTCAGGATATTAAATATTTTCTGTTTTATATTTATAGGAATCTTTTCACTACCCAGAATGAGACACAATCAGATCTGTTGTGAGACACCACCAACTGTTACTGTTCATGTAAAATCAGCATCAAGTAGATCTCATCAGCCAAAAAAAGCTATCAATCTTAAGCGTCCTATTTTTAAAGATAGTTGGCAAACATCTGAAAAAAATGCACATAATAGTAACAAGTCTAAACGTTCCAAAGGACCATGTCTAGTTATACAGCGTCAAGAAATGACTGCTTTCTTTAAATTATTTGGTAGGTTAAAGCATTTTAATAATTGTATAAGAATGCACTGAATCCAGAAACACTATAGGTTCTCACCAATGACATCCATGGTCTAAAGAGATTGGATTAGTAATCCATGTAGGAAAAATCAAGTGGATGTTGAACATGTATAGACCAGATCATGACACTGAATTGGCTAGGAAGCCCATTGGATAGGCAGTACAGATGGTCAATGAGCTGGACCTTGAATTAAATAGGAGGAGGTCAAGCTGGTATTCATTTAGGAAATTAGGCAGTGCTTCTAATAATTCCAAGCTGTTCCCTATTGCAAAAGCCTGTCTCTTTATTTTAACATAAAAAAAAGTGGAATATTTTTTGTATTATATAGTTAACTCTGTAATTTTGAAGATGTAGGCTACTGTAGAAAATTGTGAAAGCTATAGAAACAAGAAAGTAGGCACGTGGGTATTTGCTGATATCTTCTCAGTCACCTATTAAAATATCATCCTTGATCTTTTTCATTATTTGGGGATTTTTTTATATATTTGAGTAACTTTAAAAAATAAAGCCATGTTTGGTCTTTTCCTTTATTTTGGAATATTTTTTGTATCTTGGATTTGTTGAGATCTGGAAAAATGATCTCTGAGTGCCTTTGAAATTGTCATCTTTAGCACAGAATGGTGTGTATACTTGATCAGGTGAAACTACTATCTATCTTTTTAAGTGCCACAACTTCTTCAAATAGCCCATCAGGTAATGAAGTGATAAGTTCAATTATAGTGGTTCTACTATCATTTATGATGAGAATAGATCACACCAAGATACTGACAGGATCCATTTCACATATATTTGGTCTTCTTGTTTCATCTTTAAATGCTTAGGATAATCTAGCTTAGTTGGGTCTCATGCCAACCTTTCTGCTACCTTGTTTTCAATTCCTCTTTTTTGTTGCTTTTGTGAAGCAATATGCTTATAATTATGATAATCATTCATAATATTTTGCTTATTCATAATGGTTTGGTTCAAGTTTGATATAGAAAATTGCTTTGTTGCAGTTTTGTTCTGATTCATTAGTTTTAGAAAATACATATTTTAGGTTCTTGTTTAAGGTCAGTTATTAGATTTTTTTAAAGTAGATAATAGTTTAGCAAAAAAAAATGTTTTCTATGCTCTGGGTTCAGCAAACAACAATTTTTTCAGGTTTTCATTCAAAGTTTAGTTCAAGTATCTGACAGAAGAGTGATGCAGTATCTTAGTAGCCAAATAAATAAATTGCAATACATTGAGCACAAATATAGGTAAGTTGATTTACATGCCTTTTAGAAAAGGAGAATTTAGAGTTGCCCAAAGCAAATGTCTTAAAATTCTATTGGCTCCAATAGTGTAATAATTTATAGTCATCTCTTCCTTTACTAGTCTCATCTTACATATACAAGCAAATCAGAGGTTGAAGATAACTGCTGAAAACAACAGGTATTTAGGTAGTTCTTGCAGTAACAATCATCGGTGCCTGAGAGCTAAACGTATGGCGTCTCTGTTTTGGTCATTCTTATTTAGTTCCGTAACAAATATTTATAACTCATTAGGTAGAAATTAATTCCTCAAGAAGAGTTTATTTTAAAAAGAAAAGTAATAGTAATCTATTGTTGCAGATGATGACTTAATTCAAGATTTCTTATGGATGGATTGCTGCTGTAAAATTGCTGATAAGGTAAAGCATGTCATGATTAGCAAGTGACATTTAACATTGATTTCTAACTACATCTTAAGAATTTTAATTAAAACCGGTGTGATCAATCAGATCTAAGAAAAGAGATGTGCTTTTACTGCTTCATGATTTCAGTTTTTGTGAATTTCTTGGGGTGAGAACATTAAAATCTAGATCTATGATCCTCATTCTGGATCAATTCTATTTGTGTTTTCAGGATTGTAAGATGTTGGTTGAATATGATGAGAGAGAGGTCTTATAGGTCTTAGATCTGTTTTTTTGTAAATAAATAGTATTAATCATTTAAAATTATAACAATTATCATGGGAGAAAGCACTGTAGTATTTAGATTAATTCAACCTAGATATTCTGCTATGTACTTTAATATTTTTTAGGAAATTCAGGTAAAAAGAGTTCCAGGGGTAATTTTGAAAATGGGTTCTTTTGAGAGGTCTTATTTTGGATCTCAAGTATAGCTTTTTGTGTAGAATGAGGTTGGTTCATGCCATATGGTATGCTAGGGAAAAGATGATCCTACACAAACAGCAAAGGCACTCCTGAGTAGCTCTGATTACAGTACTAAATATCTGATTACAGCACTCAATTTTATGTAGGTAGGCACAGAAGAACCACCGTGCCATATTTTATCATAAAGTGGCAGCTATAGAAAAGGAAAAGATTGTTGGCTGACCAACATGTCCAAAACAGAATTCATCAAACTATTATCTTCCTACTGAAGTCCAAATCTCTAACTTAACTATTTTTGTCAAGAGTACCCATTAGTCACTAAAATTGTAACCAATTCTTCATTCCTCCCCACCTCTGATATCTGATTAGTTGCTTAATCTTATCAGTTCTGCCTCCACTACATCTGTTCCATCTGTGCTCTTTTTTTCTACTCACATGGCTACTGACCTAGTTCATGCATAAGACATTCTAGCTCTCACCTCCATACCTTTGTATAGATTGTTTTCCATATATTTTGGATGCTTTTCCTACTTACCTCTTCCTTTTGGAATTCCTGGGACCCTTCAAGGCTTAGTTAAAGTGACACCTATTTCATGATACCTTTCCTAATCTCTTCACTTTGTGTTTTTGTCATAGAACTCTCTTCTCTCCCACAATAAAAAAAAAATTACTTTGTTGTTGGTGTATATTTATTTGTTTATCCCTGGTCAGAGATAAGCTTGAAGATGATAAAGGAGCATTTCAGTTGTATCAGTGTTTAAATGCTTTAATTGAATTGAATTGAATTGAATTGAGTTAGATGTCTAATAATTACTTGTTTTAGTATAACAGCATTATTTCAAGATTAATACGAAGGGCTGTGTTGGACTTGAGCACAATCTCAGGCAAAATTTTAATTTGAGGTAATGTGCAGTACAGCAGATGAAGCTGTTGAACAGCAGATGGCAGTGTTTACAAATTAACAGAACAGACTTTTAATATCTCTTGTAGATTTAGAACCAGAAGGGACTTTGGAGATCCAATGTACCTATTTTACAGATCAGGAGTTACTTTTTCAGCCTTTTGGTAAAGATCAAGTGAGGCCTAAAGGGGCAGAGTGACTGTGCAAGGTCTTAAAGCTAGTACATAGCATTCAAACCTAGGTCCTTTGACTCTAGGTGGGTTCTCTCTATTGCTATTTACTAAGCTAGAAATTAAAATGTCTTATTATTATTAAAATAATTTTGACTTTCTGTATCCCCTGAACAGGTCTCAGGAACCCTCAGGGGTTCACAGACTATACTTTGAGAACTGCTGCTATAGCCATAGGGAGACTGAACTCAGACCTGTGTCCAGTGAAGAAAATAAAACTAGGTAAAGGCACTGGACTTGGAGTCAGACAGCCTAAGTTCAATCTCAGGTCACTACTTACTAGCTGTGTAAACTTGAACAAATCATTTAACTTTTTTGAGACTTAGTTTCCTCATCTGTAAAATTGAGAGGGTTGGACTATGTAATTTCTAAGGATCCTTCCATGTCTAAATCCCATCATTCTGTATTTCCAGCATTTATAAATAGGAAAACTAATGCACAAGAGTAACTTGCCTGATGTCAGAGAGAAAGTACCAGTACCAGGGCTAA